ACTGCCAAACCTCCCACTTCTCCTGCTTTTAGCGAAAGGACAGCTTAAGATGACGTGTGGAGATAACATGGTGATGCCCTAGAATATTACGATTATGATTGAGGTACGAAAGAGGAGTATCTCCACAATTGGAAGATCTTACTTCGAGTGCATTGTTGCATCCTCGTTATTATTCATTTCGATTAAGTTTAATTTTTATCAATATGCAATTACGCACAACTGCTATTATATCGGATATTTTAATGAATTATTCATAAACCACATTGGTAATGCAATTGAATATAAATGTGTTATTTCTCTGAACTTGTTTTCCAGCTCTTGTGATGTGAGCAATGAATTTTGTATTTCACTGTTTATTTAAATGTCGAATGAAGGGAGATGAAACGAATCAACACGATTATATATATTCCATTGTCATCTTTGTGGATTAAAACGAAACAACATTTAATCTATATTGATGCATAATTATATGCAGTGAAAGGATTATACATACATGTCATTAATTTGGTAAAAAAACATGTAATGCATTAAAAATTACAAGCGTTTGGAGCATTCAGTAACGTTGCTTTGTCAAATTTTGTCGCAATATTGTAGAAAAATATTGTGTATGAAATGTTAAAAATTTGTGAGAAAATTTTATTTCATATTCCAACATTTCCTTTGTAAAGTATTCATAGAAAGTTATAAGAAAGTGCAAAGAAGTTCTTTTCTTCAGATCTTCGATAAATTATGATAATAAGGAGTTTAGTAAATCGGAATGTATTCACATCTTTGACCAAGAAAGAAATGGTCATACAATTCATGAAGTAAAATGAACTCGAAAAACTTAGGTTATACAGTGTGGATTTTTTTGTGACTTAAAATGTATCTCTATTTTTAAGACAGTTGAATTAGTAATGCCAAATATACACTTTATGATGGAACAGATGTACTCTGAAACATGTTATATAATTGATTACATTCATTACATTGTATTTACAGAAACGTGTGCGATAGGTACTCATTCATTCAGTAATTAGTTAAATACTACTACTTTACAATAGTAGTACGTATATTCAATGAAGTTCATTCGCCGGATAGTTCCTTTGTCATTCTACAGCCGCTTTTCTCGATAAGGAGCTACATAGATGTGAGGCGTGTCTTCAAAACTCAGATAAAATGATTCTTACTTGTGTTGAGCTATTTGGATTCGGATACACCACCTTCCAAATTCACATTTCTATATCTGTAAACCTCGTACCAATGTGTCACATTCTCTTCTAGCAATATATAATTACCTTCGATAACGACGTAAAAATGTCAAAATCTACATCACGACTGGAAATTTATAATCTGGCGAATCGTCAAATCCAACTGCAACCTGTTGTATGTTAGTTTCCTATTTTACACTTTTGGGTTTTCTCTTCCTCCATCTCTGCAGCGTCTTCCTCAGCCGTTACAACTCGCCGCCAGGCGCCTGCATCTCCGGCCGCGTTTCCCCGTCCGTATATTTGTAGGCTTTCCCAGCCGCTACATTCCACAAATGGGGTCCGCCGCCCGGGCGCCCACCTCGACTTCTGTCAGCGGCTCTTGACATTTCCACCTCGCTCTCTACGCCCCCGCTCCGCCCCCGCCTCCAGGCCTGCGCCCTGCCCGCCTTGTCCCGCCCGCTTTTCTTCCCTCGCCCTCCCTAGCCCTCCCTCGCCCACTTCTCGCCCGCCTCGCCCGCTTCGCCGCTCTCCGCTCGCCCTCCCTCGCCCTTCCTCCTCCTCGCCCTTCCCTCGGCCCTCCCTCCGCCCTTCTCGCCTTCCTTCGCCCTCCCTCGCCCGCCCACCCACCCACCCACCCACCCACCACCCACCCTCCCTCCCTCGCCCGCCCCCTTCCTCCCTTGTTCCGCCCTCTTTCTTCCACTTTCTTCGACCCACCCTCCCTCCTCCACTCTTCATTGCCCAACCCTTTCCTCCCTCCTTCGCCATTCCTCCCAACCCTCGCCCGCCCTCCCTTTCCACCCTCCAATCGCCCGCACTCCCTCTCACCCGTCGCCCCCTCCCTCTCTACCCGGCCGGGACGCGAGCTCTTCCACGCGGTGTACATCAGGGCGCGGGCGCGCTCGCCCTCCCCTACCCCTCCCCTGCCCGCTTCCGGTTGCCTTGTTGTTCTCCCGCTCAGCGGCGAAAAACAATCCCGCGGGAAGGGCCCCGGCAGACTGTCACCCTCTGGTCTGACATCGCTTCGGTCATCGCCCGCCCCCTGGCCCACGCCCCTCGAGCTTGCGGCGCGCCTCGCGGCTTCCGCCCTCTGTCTTGTGCTCGGCGCAGACCGCCACCGCAGCTGGAGCGCAGGGCGCGCTCTGCTCTCTGCGGCTCGCCCCCGCCGCCTGAGTGCGCGTTTGTCTTCTGCCAGCGGGCTGGAGCGCCGGCGCAGCCACCCTGTCATAACTTTGATTAGTACTACGTATTAATACATCCACAGGCACTTGGCTCTCCGCGTTCCATGCAAATGGGCTTCATTCCACCTGGCGTTTGTGTTGTTTGCTCGTTCTGGAATTCCGTAAGATTATAATGGTTTTTCTATTACTAAGAATTAATGTTCATATTATTATTATTATTATTATTATTATTATTATTATTATTATTATTATTATTTTCAAACTCCTAAATTCATGATTACAGATGTCAGTAGTCGGTTTAATATAAAATCAACTACCAGCTTTCTACGGAGCAGACCTGACTGTGAGTGCCTCTAAAATACATTGTGCAAAATATGATTCGTTTAATTATTTACTTTCATTATTTTTATTAGTACTAATAAACATTAATAATAATAATAATAATAATAATAATAATAATAATAATAATAATAATAATAATAATAATAATTGCGTTCCGGCCACTTCTGACCTTGTTACTACACCTCTTTCGATGCCCAGTCATAATTTATTCCTGAGAGAGATTAACGTGTGTCATTATAAGGATAAGCTTTTAGGCTGTTTACCTTGGTAAGAAAAGCTTATTAAGACTTGATTGTGAATTTTGAGGTTGTACGATGATGAGAGGTGATCAAGGTCCTTTTGAATCCACCCAGCATTCCCTGTATGACCGAGGGAAATTCGGTCAGGATGACCGACCCAGGGATCGAAATCGGGTCTTCCAAACGCGAAGTCAGCGCGCTACGCCCTGTGCCACTTAACTCAGTTTTATTATTATTATTATTATTATTATTATTATTATTATTATTATTGTTGTTGTTGTTATTATTATTATTATTGAGAGACACCCTCGTTAAGTATCAGGTGTAATTCCCCCACTATCAACATTACCAAAACCACCATCGTTAATACAAACAACCACCCCCTGTCCATTTTTCAACCTTGAATTTCCAATTCGTCTCTTCAAGCTTTTCGGCGGGCTCAATCCGTTAGTCTTTTTGCCCCAAGCCTTCGCTGCCACGGCACCTCCTTCATCTGCCGCAGCCGTCGGCGCCACCCTCCCTTCAGCCCCGAGATCCCTCACGTTTGCGTACTGTCCTCTGATCTTCGCCCCCCCCCCTCCTTCCCCCTCTCCTTCAACCGGCTCTGTCGCCTTTGACATCTCCACCGTATCCTTTGACGTCAAAGTTCCCGCCACCGCTGCCATCACCACTGGCACCGCCGCAAACGGAGCCTCTGCTACCGCTGACGTGTGATTGCTACATCGACGCGAAGTTACCGCACCTCTACTGGTACTATGACATTACCCCCCATCACCACCGTCTCTTTGTCAACCAAACTCTTCTACTTTTTCCGTTTCAATTTTCTTCAGATGACAAACTCATGCGTCAATCACGAGGAATCATCCATGCTTACTTAGTATTTTCTCTTCATCCATCACTATATACCAGCGACATTATTTCAATTTCCTTCGCGGACATATCCCCACTAACTAATGTATCTTTGGAGACGAAAGTAACAATGAATTCTATATGTGTGCACTTAATACATTTCTACCAAATTGCGCATGTTATACTTTTATGAGTTATAGCAGCAGTGACAGTCAACAAGTTCTCTCACCTTTGATAACTACGGTTTCACCTTCATTGGCGGTTTCTAATATTCTGTATTGAAGTAATCCCTGACTCCACTGCAGTTATTGACATCACCCATCGCCCCATTCGAGTATCACCATGCAATGAGACATCGCCATCAGTACCTTCAGTCCCAATCAGTCATCACTGTCATCATCACCCCTACGCCCATCATCTTCGCCACCTCGATTCTACTACTGCCACTACGGATACATCTTTCTCAGCCTTTTAATTCCAGTCCCACGAGAGCTGAACTCTTTTGATATTCTCAGTCTTTGCAGGTGCATCCACCATCGCCTTGTTCATTGACGATGCCTCACTTCACCATACTCTCCGTTGTTCCGAGAGCGCTTCCTACTTACATGGCGGGGACATCCCATTTCTGTCGTTGATACCAATCGCTTTTCCCCTCCACTGCTTCCTCCTCAGCTTCTCCGACTTTTCGATGACCACTCTTAAACCTGTGGTGCCAGTCATATACTTCATCCACCAACATCTCCGTTATTTCTAGTACTCTTTTTCTTTTTGTGATGTTTGTCTTATAAATCACCAACCTCCTGCACCTCCACCTACTTGCAATTCCCATTTCACGCATATACCAGTTTCATCCTATGCTTCAGCAACAACTCTACCCCTCCTCCGCCTTCACCGCCTTCAACCCCTTCAATTTCCGCCTTTTGAAGGCCATCTCCACCAATGACACTTCATCCACCGTCAACCCCTTCCGCCTCCACCTTCGAAATCCACTCCCTCTGCCTCCACTTTCACTCCATTCTAATCGTAGCCTTTTGACACTACTTCCCTACTTCATCTACCACCAACCACATCTTAACCGAGTCCACCTCCTCTGCATTCTCCCACAGACACTTCCCCATTTCCGCCTTTGGAAGGCAGGGTCCTCCCTTATCTACCCCCCTCCCGCGCACACATTTCTTCGTCGCGGCGTGTCGTCCCTTATGTGGGGGCCTTGTCCATTCGCCTTCCTGCGCCGCACAGCATGTGCTTCGCGCTGCGCAAGAGGTCCCAGCGTCGCAGTGGAGGGTTGTGAGCGCCGCGGCAGTGATTGGATGAGTCGGGGCCTACGAGCGGAGCTGGCCGGAGGTGACTTTCATTCAAGCGGGGCATTGGGGTGCTGCGTCAGGTGCAGGGCGGCGGCTGGAAGAACGGGCAGGAGGCCTGGTGCGCGCCGGTGACGGCGGACGCGAAGCCAGCGGGCTGCCTGGCTCGAGCCTGCGGAGCGGTGCCCGTTTCTCTCGCGGCCGGGCATCCGCTCCCCGCCCGCCCCCAACGCGGCCTCGCGCCATCTCAGCGCGCGCGCTCTCGGCCACGCCCCGATTCCGACCTCCGCCTGCGAAGCACGCTGGCTCCCGGCGACCTGGGCGGTAGGCAGGTGCAAACCCACGCATTTTGGCACGTTCCCGCTGCTCAGAGCAGGGGCAGTGGATCAGCTGGTGGGAGATTCATGGTTCACTCTAGCCACCGGTACGTCGGCGCCGAATCTCGCCATCCAACGGAGGAAGATCACTGCCACGTTTCGAGGGAAAATATGTATTACACTTACGGGATTAATGCCCTTACTATCCCATTTTCTGAAGGTTAGTCATCTTAATAAAGTATTTTTGAAACCACCATACTACTGTAATAACCATTGGTATGTATCCACCAATATTCGCTAGTTGACTTTTTATTGTTAGCATTTGTAAGACTGCAATTTCTTGTCTGGCCCACTCCGAGTGTCGAGGCAAGACGTGAGCCGCGAAGATGAAAAGCGACTTGGAACTGGAGAGACGTGCTGTGGGTGGGGGCGGCGGTGCGAAACAGCAGTTGGTTCGATGCCCCGGGAGCAACCAGAGAACTTGGACGCAGCGCGATACGCCTGGACGCTGCAGCCACGCGAACGCAACCAAAACACACCGAACGCGCGCACAATCGGTGCTTCTGAGCAAATCGTTGTACCGAGAAAAGGACAGGACAAAGAAACATAACAGTTATTTTTCGTGTACAATTCGTATTACAATTTTTTATTATACAGTTTTCGTGTACATTTCTTATACATAAACGACCTTTTCTGTTGCAAGAAATCGTACATAATCGGGCATTTTACGGCATAAACGATGACGTATTAGATCTTACGGTACGAATGATTGCGTCATCGCACATTCAGACAATCGCAGGGAGGGAATCGTAAGGAGGTAGAGGTTAAATGGAACACCTGACACCCATTTTCTCGCATAGATGCCAAATACTCGAGACGTCACAAGAAAGGTGTTTCACAAAATTAAATTTAATTCTCTGGTATATTTATAATGCTGTTATACGAAAAAATAGCGTATGCATTCGTTTATAATGTTGCTTTATTGCATTTCGTACAAATACATGTACTCATATGAGTAGTAAAGTGTAATTTTATTTTGCGAGTAGGAACGGTTGCGACACGGGGCTCGGAGCCCGACGCGCAATCCTACGAGCAAAATAAAATCACTTTTACCACGAGAGTCATGCACAAGTCGGACAGACTAACTGATTTTCACTTTATTTTAATTCAAGTATATAAATCACTTAGAAGTTATATTGAGGTCAGTAGTAGCTGAAGGGATCAAAGGAAATACTTTTTTGTTGCATTCACAGATTTTCTTGAATATTCGAGCGTCGTCTCAATTGCCCAAAAAATGAACTTTTAGCACGTTATGTTTATTTTGAATGTTTAAAAAATTAGATATAGGCCTATTCCATTTGTAAAATATTTTTTTCCTGGTTTCTGTTTTTTAAAACATTTATTTCCATTTTTTATATGGTCGAATATTATGTATTCTTATAATGAAAAATTGAAAATTGATATTTTTCATCTGTAGAAATAATTCCACAATAAATATTGTATAGAGTACCAATCTTTTTTGCACAGGTTCTTTGTATGAAGAAATGCATCGTTTTGTACATTGTATCAAAATAAACCATAATATCAGTATTTCACAATTCCAAAAGCTGCAGAAGAGTGTAATGGAATGTTGCATTATTTTATCTCTTTTAATAAATATCTTCTATTCGTAAAGCATTATTTTCCTGTGATTGAAAGCAGTCGTTCAACCAAAACAACAGTTTATAAAATAACGCAATATGAATATACTATTTTTTATTTTCCCCCCAACGAACCTAATTTCTCTCAACAGTGATTTACGCAGAATGAGAGACATTAAAAAAGTATGCATTCGTGTCTAGGGTTCTCTTTCCTCAAGCGGAAATTGTTTTTTAGATTTTTTCCCTCGGATGTATTTTTCATTATATTTATGACATCAACTAAGGAGTCCAAGTGACTGAACATTTGAGAATCGTCTCACTTTTAACTCTAACACCAAAATATGAACTTGAGGAACAGTAGGAACTCGCTATATTTTTCACTTAAATCTTCAATTTGAAAACCCAGCGTTATCTACTTTTTAATCCACAATTTTACATTTTTATATGTATTTAGTAATCAACTTCTATGAGCTAAGCATTCATTATCTCACTCTATTTCTAAAACGTAAACGTTTTGAAAAAAAAAATGGTACCTGTGGATATTTTCAGTCTTTGTTGACGCGTGCTTTTTGTGCCATTTTGGACCAGTGTGCGTAATGTGCGCGCCTCTGACCATCTCCGCCCCCGCCCCCGCGACTGACGCCCGCACCGTCCGCGCGCTTGTTTGGAAATCCCACGCCCGCCAGCGCCGGCCCAGGCACCAGCGCACCAGCGCCCGCCGCTGCTTCGCCCCGCGTTCGCTCTGGATTCCGTGTTCTTTCCTCGGTGCCAGGCTGTTGACTTAACGCGACGCCCTGTCGGGGACTCTAGGCGTTAGTCGGCTTCAAACGGAGCGAGTTCTATGAGTTTTGGGCCCCGACGAGGTATTTGAAATCACGCAAGCGCAAGCGCTGTTGACGGAGCTAGATTCCAATATGGAAAAACGCAAGGGAACAAAGTCATGTCGGTAATCAAACACAATCAAGGATGCAAGGGATGAGTTGAATTTACAACCGTCCAGCTGATATGTAAATTGAAAAAATTAATGGGATTGGAAATATGTTTTGTGGAAGTTTTGTTACTCGTTTTCTTGATTTTATGGGTATGAAAAAGCGGTCGCGGACGTGATTTTATTGGAAAATCGAATACCATGATTTTCAGCACTCCAATTTGCACTTATATAGTTTTCCTCTGGCTTTTTCTCTGCACTTCATCCAATGCAATTTCATTTTCAATTATATTCGGCAATGCGAAAATGAATTAACTTACTTAGATCAGATTTCATTGAATTCAACTTCCCACCTGTATCCCTGCGGCAGTGCCAGCATTTTACCTCACATTGAGTATTCCCAACTTGTTAACAGATTTAAATTGAAATACTTTTTTATACTCTTTTGTTTTAATTTTATATCAATTGAATTTACAATTTATATTATTTAAAAGTCCACTCAAAACTACCGGTCCTTACATTTTTTAGAGAAGATTTCGAAATTTATCCAAGGGAATGTAACACAGCTGACGTTTAACTATTTAGAATATCATTACCACGATACAAATTTCACCTGTATTGTTGGCAAAGAGATATATTGTCGGTTGACAAGAAATATGCAGTTCCCAAAAATCATTTAGTAATGAGAAGCAAATCTTTTAGTAAAGAGAACAAAAAATTGGTTAGAAAAAAGTTATTTTTTCTAAAAAACATTTCATTATGATCGTTCACTAGACAGCCAGTTTAGAGAGTAAAACACTACATTACCTGTGAAATATAGAACTCCGCACAAAAGAAAACTCTTCTCCTGCAAAATGACATATTTTAAAAATGAATCACTTATCTTTTGCACCTTCGTCTACACGTTTTTCACTTACCCCCACTCCCCATCAGACTGAATTTGTTTATGGAAGAAAAGAAAAAAACTTGTCCAAAAGAACAATTATCGCTGCTACGTTTCGCTTGTAACGCAGAAGGGTTAGTTTTGTGGTTTTCATGAATGTTTGTTTTTGGGGCGTGTATTATGTACACACCGGGCAGTGGATGTATTGACATCTGTTTAGATTTCTGCATTAATGCTTCGTTTCGTTCAGTAATGACGACATTTAATTAAAATTATGTACTTTCAGTAGTTAATTTGTGAAACAAAGTAGGAAAATATAGAAGAAATTGAGGAGAGAATAAACAAGCAATGGATATCCACCAGAGCTCACATTGCACTCCTAGGCTCATATTCGTAAACGCAGGTAAATGTTCACATGTGTGAACAAGTGTACCCCAAAGTACTGCATACCCGGAAGTCGTGAAAATTTAAAACCGATTTCTATGTAAATGTTTGCTAGCAGGTGAACGCAAGCCAATAATTACGGTCTACTGCACCACATTTCACGTCCATATTTCAACGGAGGGTTTACCCCGGAGTTTACTTTGGATTAAAACAGATGGTACACACTCCGATTCTAGACTTTCATTATTCTAGGTGCATTATCTAGTTAAATTGCGAGTAGAAACTGAATACGGGATTTTGATTGTTTCTAACCGTCTTTTCTCAATACTACGAACTACTAATGTGTTTGATTGTGATTGATCGCCATTAAAACGTCTAACGAATTGCTTGAAACACTATGTAGTTGCACGTACAAAAAGAAAACGTCTTAGCCCATATTCTTCTTCTTTGTTCCATGCCCTCTAGCACGGTTCACAGCATTAAAAACTGGCAAAGAGGGAAATTGGAGTCACGGGCGAAAAGTTTACCGATATGCTAATAGGCAAATCTCCAAATGAAATATGCGTAGCCATGCAAAGTAACGGACCGAGACATAAATATGAAGAAAAACGAACTAAGAGTTATTAGAATAAACATGGCGATATCGATTAATCTGGTACGTAATAAATCATCATCTGTGAAAATGCAATACAAAATAATAAAAAATTAAATATATGAAGCTTGAAAGTAATGCGTATGTACTCTGATTTAACACTGGCATCAACATTTGCACTACCTACATTGTTTTACGAGTAAAATTAGATGATAAAGCATTTTACATCATAACGCACAATACACATGATTTTCGAGGGCGAAACAATACTTTTGTTTGGATGGGCGTTCTGACAGATGCCAAGCAGTAGGAAAGGAAGATAATATAGGTGTTGTGGTAAGATATTTTTGGCATTTTTAAAATAATTAAAGATGTTGTCATTGCCAACAATGTTTCTTAATTCAATAGCAGCTTTCGATGGCTTAGCCATCATCATCAGTTGTCTGCTAGATGGAAGCCACAAAACGACTACCTAAAACGCCCCCGAAGTAGTCGTTTTGTGGCTTCCATCTAGCAGACAACTGATGATGATGGCTAAGCCATCGAAAGCTGCTATTGAATTAAAAAACATTGTTGGCAATGACAACATCTTTAATTAAGGAAGATAATGCTTAGTGAGGACGGACAAGCGGTAGAAAAGGAGGATAATTGATAGTCCAGAGAGTTTTCATCGGGCGAACGAACGGACAAGCAAACGGGACGGGTTGCGAGAGGACAATTTCGCGAGCGAGAGGGCGGTCCGTTAACCGAGCGAGCAGTCGATTAAGCGAGCGAGAGGGAAGGCTAGCTGTCAGTTAAGCGAGCGAAAGGAAAGCGAACGGTCGGATAAACAAGCGGACAGTTAAACGAAGTGTCGGGATAGCGAGCGGTCGGTTAAGCGAGCGAGAGTAGAGGTGAGCGGTCGAGTAAACAAGCAAGTGGTTAAACTAGCTGTCAGGTTAGCATGCGGTCGGTTAAGCGAACGAGCGGGGGAAAGCAAACGAGCGGGGAAAAGCGAACGAGCGGGGAAAAGCGAACGAGCGGGGGAAAGCGAACGAGCGCGGGAAAAGCAGAACAGCGGGCGACAAGCGAAACGAGCGCGCGGGGAAAAGCAACCGACGCGGGAAAAAGCCGAACGAGCCGGGGAAAAGGCGGAACCGAGCGGGGAAAGCGAACGAGCGGGGAAAAGCGAACGAGCGGGGAAAAGCGAACGCAGCGCGGGGAAAAAGCGACGAGCGGGGAACAACGGCGGACGCGACGAGCGGGGAAGAAGCGAAAGGAACGAGCGGGCGAAATAGCGAACGAGCGGCGAAAGCGAACGAGCGCGGCGAAAGCGACACGAGCGGGAAGCAGCGAGACGAGCGGGGAAAGCGAACGAGCGCGGCGGAAAGAACAGCGGGAAGAGCGAAGCGGGGAAAGCGAACGAGCGGGGAAAAGAAGAGCGGGAAACGAGAGCGGGTAGAAAAGCGAAGACGCGACGGGGGGAAAGCGAACGAGCGGCGGAAAAGCGAACGCGAAAGCGAGAGCGCAAAAATCGAACGAGCGGGGAAAACCGAACGAGCGGGCGAAAAGCGAATCGAGCGGGGAAAAGCGAACGAACGGGGAAAAGCGAACGACTGGGAAAAAACGAACGAGCGGGAAAGCGAAACGGAGTCGGGGAAAAGCGAACGAGTGGGGGGAGTAACGTAGGGAAAGCGTCGACGGGGAAAGCGAACGAGCGGCCTGGAAAAGCGAACAGACGGGGCGAAAAAAGCGAACGAGCGCGGGAAAGCGACGAGGGGGAAAAGCGAACGAGAAGGCGAAAAAGCCGAACGAGCGGGGAAAAGCGAAACGAGCGGCGAAAAAACGCGGGCGAAAAACGAGCGGGGAAAAGCGAACGTACGCGGGGAAAAGAACAACGAGCGGGGAAAAAAGCGCAACGAGCGGGCGAAAGCGGAACGAAGCGGGAAAATGCGAAACGAACGGGGGAAAATGCGAACGAGCGGGGGAAAAACGAACGATGCGCGGCGGAAAAAGCAACGCAGCGGGGAAAAAGCGAACGAGTGAGGGGAAATGAACGAGCGGGGAAAAGCGAACGAGCGGGGAAAAGCGAACGAGCGGGAAAAAGCGAAACGAGCGCCGCGGGAAAACGAACGAGTGGGGAAGTGAAACGAGCGGGGAAAAGCGAACCGAGCGGGGAAAACGATACGAGCGGGAAAAAACGCGATCGATCGGGCGGAAAGCGAACGAGGGGAAAAGCGAACGAGACGGGGCAAAAGCGAACGAGCGGCGGAAAAGCGAACGCAGCGGGGAAAGCCGAACGAGCGGGAGAAAAGCGAACGAGCGGGAAAGCGCAACGAGCGGGGAAAGCGAACGAGCGGGGCAAAGCGAACGAGCGGGGGGAAAGCCGAACGACTGCGAAGAAAAGCAAAGCCGGTCGGTTAAGCGAGCAGCGGGGAAAACGAGTGTTCATTCAGCGCAACAGTTGAGAAAGCGCAGCGGTCCGTAAGCGAAACGAGCGCCCAGTTAGCCGAGCGGTCGCTGACTATGGAAAGCCAGACAAGCGGAGTGCGGACGCGTGGAATGGCCCCGGGATGCGCGGCGAAGCGAAGCTTCTGCCCAGCCAGTGCAGCGCAGCGGGCGGCGGGCGGGCAGGCATATGTGCCAGGCCGAGACGGTGCATGCGAAGTGCGCGCGGCCATGAAGCGGGCGGTGTGCGCGGACGGGCGGCGGGCGTCGTGAGCGCACGCCCCCGGCGCTGGCGCGCGGTCACTGACCGCGCGCATCGCATCGGCGCTGACCCACCGCCGGGCACTCTGGTTCGACGCCCGCGTAGCCCCCGGCCCCCTCCTCGCCCCGCACCCCCCGCCTCGCTCCACGACTCCACCCGACACAGCTATGTTTACGCCACAGGTTTCCAACTAGAGAGGACTCGTGGGACCGAGATGCAAAGCCCAATAACAAGACTTTTGTATTCCCTCAGCAATACTATGTAAATAAATGAAGATCAAAAGAGAAATAGAGCGCGTTTTGAAGTGACATCGAATTAAACATGTTGTAAAGTGATAATTTATTTTATCCAGAACTTAAATAAACTTAGTATAGTTTGATTCGATGTAACTTTGCTGAACGATTAGGAAGTTTTAAAACGATGAAGAATTCGCTCAAAATTTAATTAAAATCAACTGTCAAGTTAACATTGATCTGTTGTTTCAAAAGTGTAATTGTGACAGGAAGATATCTTTCATAGGTTTATTTTATTTGTTTTAATTTCTAGACCCAACTCGAGAAATGCTGTACGTATTTCACCGAACTTCATCAGAGAGAAACTGGGAGCATCAACATCGTGACGAAGTAATCAAGAGAAGGTTGCTACATTATGTAAGTGTTGTAGTTTTCTATCATATTCGTTTTCATAAGAGCAGTTTTTAATTAAATAGTTTACAGTACATATAAAATATAGCAAAATCAAGAGTAATGTTTTATAAAAAGATGTTAATCCTGCATAGAGGAATTTGGTAAACTGTCTGTAACCGATCCTCTATTTGTCCACGGCTCGTGCATGAATCACTTTTGATCCACCTTTGGGAAAAACACGACGTCTCGCTTGACGTCGGACAACTAATAATTTTTTTTCGAAGCCTTCCTATACATTTGGCGTATTAAGGAGAATTCTCGAAAACTTTTGTTGGGATTTTAAGGGGTCTAGAGGGGTGGTCAACAGGTAATTGGATTCTTCTCGACAAGACGAATCAATTGGCACAATTTTCGGTCGATTATTTGAGACTGACTGATGAATTCTACAAATATCGTGTTTTTTGGGAAGTCAAGTCTTCTACAATGAAGCAATTCTGTATTACTCTACTACCTCTTCACGTATAACGTTATTTTTTACGATTTCATTCAAGTTATTGACGATAATTTAACCTATTTTTGAAATGGAAGCAAATAATATATAAAAAATATTTTTATTGATTATTTTTATATAACTTCCTTCGCCTGTTCAGGCATGAGTCAACCAACAGTATAATGTTAACATTTCAATTTTTATTACGAACGTTCATAGCACAAATCAACATTTTTAATATGCAGATATCCGGCAAAGGCGCCCCGCTATGCTAATTGACATTACATAAAGATTGATAATTCATAGCTTTTAAATTTGGAATTCATCGGGGCATACTGAGAATTTCACATTGGCCATCAAATTTCTATGCTTTGTGCTCTGATAAGATACGAAAATTCTAAATTATAACACAAGACGACTTTAATGTATCGCACACTAAGCTTTTCCCGAAGCTAATCGACTAAATCAAGTATATTTAATTTCTTCACATCCTTCATAGAAACCACTTGCATTTTTCAGTCTATTTAGAAAACAAGTTTTTACCAATGATGGCTTCATTAATTCAGCCGTGTAATTATTTTGTCGGTTTACCAGGTGGTGGTATGAGCAGCTTAGTGAGTCGATACTACATCGACATATTTTTAACTTCGCCATATTTTTCAACCAAAGTTCATATATTTTTCCTCCTCTTCAACTTGCGGTCGGAAGTCTCACAAAAAATTCATTCGAGGATCAGTTATACCTACCATCTACTTTATGAGCAGCGTAGCGGAAGCCCGTGCCAAAACTTGGCGAGCGGGAGGGAGATGACGAAAAAAATATGACTCTAGAAAGTGGAACTTCGAAATGTACTTTCGGATAACAACACCATTAAAGTCATGATCACTCTTTGCAAGAGTTCGGTAACTTCGTTTACGATGTGATACACTTTTATTTGATTGAGGGAAAACAAATTCAACGAACAGTAACAAGAAAACGACAAATGAGGAAAATCATATGCTAGCTTTCTGTCAGTTTATTCATAAAGCTCATGCACGAAAACGTATGTGCAGTATAGAGGTTCAGGAAGGAACATACTAATATTATAATAATCAATTTTTAATTACATACTAATTATTTTCAAGGGGAAATTAATTACAAATGAAAGCGATTCCTCATTGATTTCGTTTCATGAGATGTAGTGATGGTATTGGTCAACACAAGTGCAACAATTTTATTTTACATATTACTAAGCTTTTATGAATAATTTGAAGGCCATTTTCCCAATATTTCTATTTTAAGAACGTTTCTTCTAATTGCATTTCAATAAAATGAACATTCCGATCCGAGAAAGCTCGTTCTCCGATTAGTTTTGGATATTTCTGAAGTTCGGGAAGTTGGGAGTGTGCTGTGGAGGGTCCAAAGGCCCCTTACGTTCCTCCGTAACGTGTGACAGCTTCCCTTTAACTCGTTCACCGTTCGAGAATCGATGTCAACGTCGCAAGTCGCTGCAGCCATATTTCGCACACTACTATTAAATTCACTATATTGCACTATTAGATTTACGGATATTTTGATGAATTCATTAACGTTATGACATAATTTTAATGCATTGCTTACTTGCCAATCAATTTCAAACTAACCCTATGTAGTATTCATCTATCCTCTAGTTTCGAGATTTCCTGAACATGATAGAGGGGAAGGAGGATATGAGGTGGATATATATATATATATATATATATATATATATATATATATATATATATATATATATATATATAATGCATTAGTTTACATTTCTATTGTATATTTTTTTTAAAAAGACTTATTATGTTTGTAACAAACAATGTACTTCAGCTTCCGGGTCAATGACCCTATCTCGATCAGATCTTTTGTCCAGTTTCCCTGATCTATTGGGCAAATGCTGTGATGGCCCCTTGTTTTGCTTCTGGACGTAAATGTAGCTTCACTTTGCGCATGTCTTGTTGAACTCTTCTTTTGCTTGTAATTGTAAGAGTGGAGGTAAGGGCGAGTTGCTATTTTGCTAGCAATGCAAAAACATCATACTTGCAATTCGTGTACCGATGCAAATAAGTTTTCTATAACTCAGAAACGAAAATGCCTATTTTCCAAATATTGCTACTCTTGCGCTTTTTAAAATTAATTTTTAAAATTTAAACTTTTACTCATCTTTCAACTATTTATAGTTAAAATGACGGGAAGGGATTCTGGAACTCAAGAAAACGTGCACAGATCTTTTCCTACGTCACATACAGTTTTTACTGTTTTTTTTGACTGAATAAATATAAATCTAACTTGAAAAGTAATAATTGAAAATAATTTATTTTTATTTACTAAAAAATTCCAAATTTTAACTTTAGTCAAATGTAGAAAACTATGTTTTAAAAACTAAATTATATCATTGTTCGGATTTCGCAATTATTTTAAGATTTAGGATCACTTACCAAACGCACATTCGGTCCATATTCGTAGATTTGAACGACCCATAATCCTCGATTTGAGCACCCGTGGTAACTGGTACTCTCCCCCACTCCTCTCACCCTGGTACTTCCCCCCCCCCCCTTGGGCCAGAAAGTGAACAACGTCACGGAATTCGTGCGTGTCGTAATATCGGTCGGCATCGCTTTGTCCAGATAAGGGTACCGGCTCCGGTGCGGGTCGAGGCAGGTCAAGGAAGGCACGGACTCGCGTGACCGTTCGCAGTGAGTTTCGTGTTTCGAACACACACTGAACACAAATACGTAGGCGAACGAGTAGGTGTAGCATAGCGCTCACAGACAAATGGGATGCTTCCAATAGATTCCTAAAAAACTGAGCATTGATGGAAATCAAAAAAGATCCAATAGCGCAGTGAAGTAACCACGCGTATTGCTTGAGTGCCCGGGAATTTTTCCAGTAATCAGCGTCAGCATGTTGAGGCATACATTTTTCTGGAAATTCAGAAAATTATTTGATATTAAAAATATTTTTCACTGTTGAAAAGGAGTCCACAACTGTCTGAGATTAAAAGAACATTTTTAAAATACAAATTCATGATAAGGAAATAAAGTTACCAACCGCATGTATTCGCTTCTCCATTATGCGTTTAAGACACATTTTAATTATGATACGATGTGAAAGTAAAATCATGCCAACTGTCACGGCTAAACTGATGCCGTGTTGAAATGACACAGCGAATTAAGGAACAGATGTTACTGGCTGTTCTCAAGAATAGATTACTACCATGTTCTTTTGATTTTTTCGACTTATTCTATTCGGAACTATTGAGGCAATAACATTTTATGATCCGAGTAAAACACAGGATAAAAATTACGCAACATATCTGAAAATTGTTAAAAGTGTACAAGGCCAAAGAAGACAAAATGGAAGATGTGACTATTAAACATTATATCAATGAATATTTACTCTCAGAAAAATCACCAAATTGCAATCAAAATTGAAAATATTGTCCATATTAAACACGATCTAGTGATTTCAACAAACACGCCTCTGAATCTATCAACTAGCACCAGCAAAGTACGGCAAATGTAAAAGATCAATTTAACGGTATATTAACTTGATTTGTAAGTGCTACATCCATTTTCGCTAATTAGGTTTTATCGATCCTTTTGAACCACACGCTAAGTATTAGTATTGGAAGGGTCGCATTCAGGCAATGAAAACAGCAATCATGTTTACCTGTTTATCATACAACATATCTCGTCCCTTCCCGTGCGGGCAGTAATACTGATAAAATTCCAACAAAAAGCATTCTCTATATTTATACTGGTAGCATTGTAGAGTCAGTAGAATGGATTAAGATAATTTCTTTAATGGATATTCTGCGGTGACGTACGAAATACGAAACTAGGTACTTGGTACTTGGTATGTACTTGGATGTTGAAATTTCCCAGAATGAATTCAGAAACATCGACGAAAGAGAATTAACATTATTCACTCTCACCTCATTTTATTCTTACCTTCTTTGTTTTATCATCCAATTTTCAAGTAAACCAAAGACATTCGAACTTAAAAGTCGCACTACAATTTTATAGTTTTCAATGTTTAATAATTAATTATGAATGTACGTTTGGATAATTTTAACACTGAATCCGGCGCCAGTTTCAAGCTTTTAATGTCATGTCGCTTGAATGTGGAATTAAAAATTGGTTTCAAAATTAACAACTAACCCATTGAAGTTTAAATTCAATATTTTACGGTATTAGAAAATAAATACTGGCCTGCAGCACCAAAAAATGCTGCGGTTAAGTATGTGGAAAATGAATTGTTTAAGCAACAAAACATTGCTGTTCCGAAACGGCAAACGTAGTTACAGTCTCTTCTTTCTTCGTCGCACGGCGCTGGCTGTGTCGTAAGCAGTAATGCGGTAACATGACTACGAGAATATAAACGTAACATCAGGTACGAGAAATTGCAAAATAACATAATCAAATATTTGCACTTTTAGTCGAATTCGAAACTATTTCTTTGATTTTAATATTTTTCAGTGTTCATAGGTGTTTA